ACATAGTTAGGGAGATAAGCCGGGAATGGCAAGAGTCATTCCATTCTGCGATCATTACTCAACAGTTTACGTTTTAAAGGAGGGTTTTCTTCGTGCTTTATCGCAGTTGATCAAAGAGATCTTTGCTTATTTGAATAACTTCAAGGTTCATCAAGTTCACCAAAGCATGGATCATTTTTCACACATAGTTTGACGATTGTTCTCGAAGAGTTGGTAAAGTTTGGACTTTAGAAAAAATCAGTAAACATTGTCTCTGACTAATTACACACTATTAAAATTTTAAGTGTTAGAACGTTTAGAACATTTAGAACACATTAAATGGGAAATAAAATATGGCTGCACATGTAACGTTCTCTCTGACTCGCTTTTTGTAAAGGATGGTTCTTCTCAAAGGGTGTCTAAATCTATCCGGATTTCAAGCATTAAACGCTCATCATCAAGTTGAAGGATTAACTCCTACTTTGTTACTGCTTGAAATCCGGATAGTTGTAAACAACAACCGTGTGACCGCAAGATTTAGTCGTTGACACGGCGCTCATCACTGTAAGGTAAAGGTCCCGGGTTCGAATCCAGCGGCCCTGCATTCGAACCCGACACAACTTTGAAATTTTTTGTTTGTTTGCAGATAAACTCTTTTATCTTTTAAAAACTTGGTTGCCGTTCAAAAAATAAATGGTATAGTTGCTATTGAAAATGTGGATAAGGCAAGAAAAATTCAACTAGGTTAAAATTCTCAAAATCTTGAATCTTAGCGGTAGTAAAATTTGGAAAACATTAAAATGTAATTCTATTGATTCATAAAGCACAAGGTGAAAGTTTTACAGCAGCGGATATATTACATTTTATAAAGAGTTATTATTTCCTTTGATACTATCACACAAGAGAGCCTTTTTTCAAATAAGGATCAAAGAACTTGATTAATGAACAACTCAACATAAATTCTGATTATTATTTTTTTAAAGACGTGTTTTTCTCAGATTACACGATTGTTGCAGACAACCCCTGGACAAATTTCCGTGCCAGGGTAAATAATGCCCTATCCGAACCCTTACGAATCGGGATGAAAGGATTACGAACAGGAAACGCAAGCACTAAAATAGCCTGGACACGTTCCAGTTTCAAAAACAACCTGCTTCCGCCACCTTAGGAAACGCCGGAAGAAAGACGCTGCTTTCAAATTAATTCATGACGAGGATTTTATTTTAGAAAAACTATCTCTTGTGTCAAACCCACTTCGATTTATTTTAATATGGCTTCTGTTCAATCTAATAAACTAAAGAGAAACTTCAAAGAAACATATTTTTATCCAAGCAATTGTTACACGGCAGAAGTTTTCAAAATCTTATTTCCTTTCGTGGTTTGCTTTTAAACACTTTCTAATTATCCTGGACCTGGAATTATTCTTCATAATTACCGTTAGGCGTTATCATAGTAAAGATTGTAGCATCCGTTACACTTCTTTTTGGATTTGGTAAAACTGGAATCTAGTGGAAGGAAATCCTTGATTAATCGCTTCCTAAGGACGAACCTGTTAATTCTAATTAATTTATTGCCCCCAATTCTGCCAAATTATAAATAAACTGAAAATCCTGTTTCGTTGGTCGCACGGAAAAGTTTGCAGCACAGGCTGGATAGTCACAACAAAGATTTTTTTGTGGAAACCGTGGCGTTGGGGGAAATTACACCAAAAGTGATAAAATTCGCCGACATCGGTAAAAATGGATTCATACTCCCATTTTAAAAATAATTGTACAAGGATTGTAAAAAAGTTCCCAATATCCAGTATTGAAATGAGAGATTTCTTTGCGTTGTCTACGGAGAGATGAGCCTAAAAAACAAACAAATAAAATATAAAATAAATCAAAAGGAACGCACCAGGAATATTAAACAAGAACTATGACGTGTCCTATGAAGGAACAAAAAATACACAAATCATAAACCTTGAAATAAACGTCAAGACAGAAATTGAAAAATATTCTAACAATTATCAATACATCTTCCGGCAGACGGTATTTACCATGCTGTATAATGTTACTTTACTTTGTTTTGTATACATTTCTTTTTGTTGTTAAATAAACATTATTATTATATCAATACACGTTGACAACAAATGTACATAACTGACGAATGTATTACATTACGATTTCTGGATAGTAAGGTTTGATTAGTATTTGATTAGGTTAGTTGATAGTAAGGTCGATTGGTCGTAGTAACGATGTGTAGAAGTGGGCGCTTATTTTGCAGTCTGCCCAAAGTAGGGTTTACGAGTAGTCGATCCTAGAAAATCCTCTGCCCTGGAAAACATTCCGAGATTGCTGGTCGGCATTAGTTTTCAGATATCATACCCACCAGACCGGCGTTCTGCAAGGGAGTATTTTATGACCAATAATCTACACAGTCCTGACAACCAAATCGCGGGCGGAACCACAATCCCTTCTCACTTTCTCACCTTACCTACTCTAGCGGCTGAAGAAACCCAATACCACCTACATACAGGGGCACTACTGGCAGCTTGTAATCTTTTTTTTTTATATGTACCCTATGTGTACCCTAGTAGGGACAGAAATCTCGACAGCAGACTGACGTGGAATCCCTACACAAGACTTAAAAAACAACTTAATACAAGACTTGGACTACTACGAAGACTTCTAAAACCGAAATCGACTTTGACAATAAAGATAAAGCTGATATTGTACAAGACTTTACTAACACCAATATGGACATACGGAGAGAAACTGTGGGGTAGTGCCAAGCCTTCCAATATCCAGCGCATTATTGTGTCACTAACCACACTATGCACAATGACCTCAATATTCCTTTCCTCAACGAACTGAGCAGGGCCAGATGTTCCCATCTTTACTCATGGGTGTTGAGACCCATGAGGATGTTTAACGTCCGGACTTATCCCCAAGGGGACTTCTCAGACGCCTAATGTTCTCGAAAAAACACCAGTAAGATTTTACATGCATGGACTTGTCACATCCCTTATACACATTGACACACACACAGCGAGGTGGTTCAATACTAACCAATGCTCAGAAGTACCCTAAAAAGGGCACATCCATACATGTGCCTTGAAAAAGGCAGTTTTGTGGTTTCCAGCAAAGCCTTTTAGCCATGCCTTTTACCACCCCCGGAGAGATAGAGAAGGCACTCTATCTCCGACTCCAGTTGGCCAGTACCCTCCAGCTAAGGTACAATTTGTTTACAAACCACGACCACCACGAGTCCAACCTCAATTAGTAGAGCCGCTTGGATACTCCACTCCCGTGGTTCAGTGTTATTTTTAAGGTGGGACTGATCGCCGACCCGGGAGGTCATATGAACTCCCTACTGATGCACCCGTTGCCTGAGGGGTGCGGGTTCAGTAACCCAGGAATCCTCTGCCAAAGCAGAGGGGGGAAGAGGGAGGGAAAAGGAAAGGGGTAGGAACGATGACGAAGGTAATAGGGATATTGCCTCCATCATTGGTTACCCCCAGGCACCAGGGTTGATGATCGGACTTTGCCTGGGCCCACCGGCCAGATTCCAAAACTTCCACACCAACCTTTCGAACCATCCTAACCATACTGCTCGAGCCCTCTCCACTCATTCCCATCCTGACAACCCGACACGTCGCCTCAACCGACGGTGGCCTCGGGACCTCCGTAACACCTAATCCTACACATTGAGCCATTGCTGGCTCCTCTAAGCATGTGTTCTACCGGTGCAGTGCTGGTATTAGAGCTAGTGTGATATATTAGTCATGTGTACATATTTGTATAGTATACGGTAACACAAAAAAATTACAAAACGTTTCTGCGCAAGGTCCCAACACTAACAATAACGCCAGCGCTACACCCGGAGGACACATGCTATGAAAAACCACTCAAAGTTGACACTCATTGTGAGGAATGTTCAGGCGACGTGTCGGGTCCTCTGGATGAGAATGTATAGCTCAAGGATAGTTCGAGAAGTTAGAGTGAATCTTTTGGAATCGGGAACGGATCAGCCAAAAAGAATGTTGAGGTCGTGGGTAGTGAGGTTAGTGACGTAGTTAAGAGTTTTGACAATTTTTCTTAGAACTTTTGATTGAAAGGATTGCCTGTACTGGTTGTTGGTTGGCAGTTCCTCTCCATACGTCCAAAATGGACACAATAAAATCTTGTATAAGGTTAGTTTAGTGTTGACAGTCAAGACGGATTTCGGGCCTAGTTGTCCAGTCTTCTATTAAGTTGATTTTCAAGTCTTGGGTGGGTTTGGCATATCTAAAGCAAACTTAATAAAAAACACGTTTTGTTATTTTAACATGAAACAATGTAACATTATTAGTAGTATATAATTATAATTGACCGTAGTAATTATTTAAATTATTTATACTTTTTATCCATGGTCTTGGTTGAGATGAAAAAAACCAGTGTCACGTGCGGGATTCGAACCCACGACCTTCGGCTCTGGGCCGCTGCTCTAACCACACAGCTAACGTGATTTAACTAACCACTTCACATAAAAATTATAAATCACTACAAATATAAAGTCACGATGTTGTTTATGTTTACGTCAACTATTAATTAATCTTTATGTTTTTAGTTGGTCCTAGTTAAGCAAAACAATTATAAATCAACTATTTTTTTATTATGGAAAATAAATAAATACAAGTGCCCGGTTTAATCTTTGAGTTCGTTTGGGATTTTTTCCCCTTCCCGTTCTGACTAAATGGAATTTGGCATATACAAAACTTCCACATTTTGTGAGGATGGCTAATTTTGTCTGTAGATCATGACAGTAAGGAAATTATTATACAATTATTTTTTATTTTTTAGAAAATTGATTTATTGAAAACAAGAAGAAGGGGTTTGGTTTGGTTATTTTTACAGTGATGGGGGGTGGTGGGGGTTGGCGTGAAATCGCAAGTTTACACATTTTTTTAAATAATCAACCGGGAGGTTGTATTTTTTTGAAACCAAAAGACGTCCTCGTGGCATCCGTTTGAAATCCCGCCAGACAAAGGAAACTCACGCCGGCGAGAGGATTGCAAAACAAGTCGAAACCCAGTTTAAACTTTAACTGGAAAAATAGAAGGACGCAGACGACAAGCTTAGACTTTTGACGTCGACCTGTCCGCCAGATGGAACATTCGAGGGTACGTGCACATGGCCAATGGCCACAGCTGTTCAACTCCCATATTGTCTCACCCACCCCTCAGCCCGTCACGTACCAACTCAGTACTCAACAGTCTTTGACACCAAATACATTGAGGTAAGGATTATTATTCAGAAATCCGAGCTAAAGCCTAACAATTCTCTTTCAGAGAAATCTATTAAATTAATATATACCTTTTCCATTTTGGTTCTGTCAATTTAAAATTTACAAATGGATTATTATTTTCAGAGTTTATTAACAGTCTAATTCTTATCATTTTCATACTAGAAACTAATATACTACGCGCAAATAAAAAAATGATCTTCAGATATAATTAATAATGATTATATTAATCAACTGTTACTCTCTTCTTAATGCTATATTTAATACCATATTATTTATTAAAAAAATACTTTTAACTCTTCTAGATATATTTTATTTTAAAAGCACTTTTTTTATAGCATGTAACTGTAAGTTAATAGGCTAAGTACAATGATTAGCGTGTGCGCGCCTGCCTGCGATCTACTGTAGGTGTATTTTTTTAAATAAATAAATTATTATCTTGCATAACTTTACAGCGTTATGAACTTTTTTCGACTATTTCTCTTTCTTATCTTTTCTTTTTAACAGAAAAACACAACATTCTATTAAGAAGTGTTTGTATAATTACGATTCCAGGTGGTTAATGGTTTTCCAGGGCCCAACGGTCGGAGTTAATTTATCAACTGTCCTATCAGCACGGAAACTCGCGATTATGTCTTGTTTGAAAACTTGAAGATGTAATCAATATTTTTTGCAGGAACAATGGGGAAATGAAAAGAATCCAAAGAAAATTTTATTCGCCTTCAAGCTAAGACATTCGTTAATTTTGGTTTGCCGTGATAGAATTTAATCGCTTTTATTATAGATGAAAAAAGTTTTTTTTCTTTGTGTAAGAAATTTTAAAGCTGAAATAGAGACAAATTGGAAAAATATCTGGGAATAATTGGTTTGTCCTGTGCCGGTAGGGGTTGTCCGTTGTAACCCTGGAATGCTTAGCAACGCCCCTACCTGATGTAAAAACCGGATGAAATTTCTGGGGGGAAAAATCCTAAATAGATTTCTCCCTTATGTGGATATTTTTTGATTGTATAGATTGGCAACGGAAAATTCAACTGGGAACGCGAAATTCTGTTGATTTTTTTCACTAGGCTATATGTAGTGCTTATGTTCTGTACAATTACCTCCAAGAGATTAACAATAATAAACAGTTTTATTATTATTATTACTATTAATCCATTTAAATTTAGTGGTCTAATTGACCATGTTAATTATTTCAATTAATTATTCTTTTTATGTAAGGTCTTGGTTGAGATGAAAAGGTTAGTGTCTCGAGCGGGATTCGAACCCAAGACCTTCGGCTCAATACGCCCGTGCCCTAACCACTTGAGAAGTCACAAGAGATAGCTCAAGTGGTTAGAGCAGTGGCGTGTTGAGCCGAAGGCTGTGGGTTCGAATCCCGCTCGTGACATAACTTTTTCATCTCCTCAACCAAGACCTTAAATTAATTATTATTAAATTTACATTTTGTTACCGGGGGGGGGGAGGTTAAAGGGTTTTTAAAAATCAGCCATCTATGACGATCTTTCGCTTTTTAATTCAACTGTGCAACGGTTGCCTGTCAGCTTGCGTTAAAACTGTACAGGGCGGGGTCTGGAAATACACTCATATGCGGACAGAGGTAGATGTATGTACTGTGTATAGTTCGTCACATATTCTGCACATGCGGTTTGCATTGGTCCTGCATGTCAGATTCCAAGGCAGGCATGACCGCCGACCACCACCACCTCGTATAAAAGAAGAATGTTTCGGAGACGTCGGTGGCCGCAACGGTTTAGGCGTTGACACGGCGCTCATCACTGTAAGGTAAAGGTCCCGGGTTCGAATCCAGCGGCACTGAATTCGAACCCGACATAATTTCAAATGAGCTTTTTTCAAAAACACTGGCACTCTGAGGGTTTATACATCGTAAAAAAGTCTGTTTGACCTGCGACAGACAGTACAGATAATTATTGTTAATTTAGGTTTGAAACGAGTGATATAGATCACCGTAAGCTGAGCGTGAGACCGTTAAAGCCATCTACCCCTGAATAATTATATACGGATTCGTCTCATTCCCTTGGTCTTAATAAAGCTGAAAGGATTTTCTACTTTCTGTTTTAAAATTATCATTTTGTCTGTTAAATTCCTGTGTTAAGTTCCACCCAGATTAGCGTATATGAAAAAAGGTATAGATTCAAAATGACTAAAAAGTCAGCGATCCGTCATATCTCTTTGTACTATTTTCCCTTAGAGGTTTTTTCGGATTTGAATAATTACTAGTAGAAAATAATTCCACGGGACGAAGATGCTCTTACAAAGGGAATTATCAATGAAACGGTCCGTAGGATAACTTTGGCCGACGTGTCAAAAGCGGGGCAAGGGCGGATTTATTAATGTAGCCAGAGCGCAGTATCCTTTTAATCCCAAGATAGAATCTGTTTATTCTCGTGCAGTCTCTCGGATGTTGTTAATGTAGCTAGACGCGTCAAACTTTTGTTTCCAGGATTCCAGCCGGGAAACAAGGTAAATCTAAAGGTGGTATTGATTTTCGTCCTGCCCCGCTTATCTAATCTTGCTCGATATAACAATGAACACGCTCCAGAAACGAGCCATTTACTGACTCATGCCTAAACAAAAACTGCTTAATTTTTATTTAGATAATATTATCATGAGCGAAAGAAAACATCGAACAAAGGTTTTTTTGATTTTTATGATTGATAAGATCGTTCAGCTATTGTGTTTACGTTTAACAACAGATATTATGAATCAGCTATTAATAATTTTGCCGGTATTTGGATTTAACGTTTATTTAAACACGAACTCAACATTTCCTTGAATATTTTTTTCAATTTTTTACATTGGAATCATAACCTCGGGACATTAATAGCATTTACTCATAACCTTTGATTTTCCGCCAACTTTCAAAAAGAACAATTGTTTACCTTTGGAACAAAGCATTCGTGGAACTTGTCCTATGTTTCTTAAAATACATGCTAAACCATTACTTGATCTAAGAGGTTAAAATATTCACTGATTAATCATTTTATGTTTGATTTCTATTGTTTAATATATAAAGGGCGTCCTGTGAACAGACGTCAATTCTTCAGAAAGTTATGCTACTTTTCAACTTCTACTTAAATTAAAATAAAATAAAAAGTCCAGTCTTAATTCTCAATTGTATAAGAGACATTTCAATTTTCAGAATACTTCAATCTTTCACATCTTTATTTCATAAAGTCCCTCGTATCCCATGAAACGTTAATCCTGCTGTAAATTTGATTACAAGATTGGGAAGTGCAATGAAAATTCTCTGAGATTCATTTGTTTTTGTTTTGTATTTTCACCTTAAGCAAATCAAGTACAAATCGCTCAGAAGATAAATTTTATTTTTAGTATCAAAAGATCTTGCGTAAAGTTTAAGTGAGATTTTATTGGTTCTGTAAGTGTCGCTTAGAGAGACATGACGCTTACAGAAAAGTTGCCCCTACCAAGTGATTAAATGATCTGTTATAAATATACTTAATTTCTTAATTTGTCTACTTGGTCAGTTATAACTATACAATAAAATGTCCTATATAATTGCACTAATAAAACATCAAATGCGCAGTATTATATATATATAATNGCTCAAGTGGTAGAGCAGCGGCGTATCAAGCCGAAGATCGTGGGTTCGAATCCCGCTCGTGCCATTGACTTTTTTAACTCAACTAAAAACCTTAATTAATTGTTTACGTTTACGACACAATTTTCCCCAATTCGGTCAAGCCGGTATTTTTATAAGCGTGTTTTTTTAATTTCGCTTGTAATATAATTCCTGCAACGCCGGGATTTTACTTTTTTTTAATGAAAAGTGCAACACGCTATTTTACAAGAAGTTAAGTTCAAACTTTCGGCATTTTTTAGGATTACTAGATTGAAAATATGAAAGTGGACAGAGTATTTTGGCCTAAATATGAGATCTATTTCCACATCATGTCTACTTCGGAAAAAGTAATTTTTCAGGAAAGGCAAAAACTGATCCTAGGAATTTTGGAAATGGAGACCTCAAAAAGATGCCGATTATTTCAAGAGAATTGTTGTATCAGATTATGTACTCCTTTGTTATTGGCAAATTAACTGAAATGCAGATCCTTTTGGCTGTTTTTTTTTCTCTCGTTTTTAGTTAACTAATTAATTTTTTCCAGTCCATCTGCAATATCATTTAAGTATAGAAATGTATGTCCTATTCTTGAAATATGTACAATAAAATTTGAACTATTTTATCACGGAAGTAAGAAGTAAGTGTTAGCCAAAAGAATGTGCAATTCCATACAAATCTGGTCTCTAGTTATCACCAAAATTAACTTTTAATTGACAAAAATTTGATTTCCATTTAAAAAATTACTCATTAAGATTTTCAATCTTAAATTAATAAATAATAAAAGTAATGCAAAATAATAAAAAGATTCTTTGTTACAAAATTGTGAATACAATAATAATAATAATAATGTGTGGTGATTAGTGACCGTTAGTCGTTGATTATTCAGAAATCATGAGATGCGGTCTGGTGTGATGTAGGTTTCAGAAAAACATTTTCTTTATCGTGCCAACGTTTCGATCTTTATTGAGATCATCTTCAGGGCCTGGGATTTACAAACATTGTTTAAATTTAACAAATACATGTAGGCTGTGGAAAAAAATGAATTTATACAATGCAAAAAATATATTTTTTATATTCAATCAATTACGCAGAAAACAAACACTTTGAGTGAGTAGAAATACTTTGATTAGCCAGGGTGCTTTTTATCTATGACTAGTTCGTTGTGAATCGGTAGACAGCATTGTCTGAAGAGGATGTTAAAAGGTCCTTTCACTTTTTCTAGGAGAGGTTTATTTAGTAGTTGTGGTGGTCATTGTCATCTGCTCCGCAAATCGGACGTAGTTGGCTCTGTGGAACTAGTAAAGGTAGGTGTTTTATATTTACGTACTCTGTTGTTGTTTGGATTATCCAGAAACCATTTGGATAAATTGATGAAACCCTGACGAGAAAATCGAGG